CACGTGTGGCTCTTCTCCGACCACCCCTCGATGATGGCTCCTGCTGAGTTTGATGGGTCTGTGCAGTGAAACTGCACAAGTTCAGTAGCTGTGTTGGTGGCACTTTGGGACTCACAGCATTAAGTGCAAGTTGTTGTTATGATGTGGTGAGTAAATTAAAGCATGGAGTTAAAATTTGAGTTTGTATAGCACTTAGCATAACAGGGCCTGGCATGGCCGGGGCCTTTAGGCAGTTTCACCGTATAAATGTTTCTAAGTCCAATAATCCTCAAGAAATATGTTTTTAATGCCCAGTGGATATTAGAAAGATAACACCACCAATCAGATGTGCATCAGTTCACCCACAAAACACTTCCTTGTTGCACTTCATTGCTAGGAGCTGCTTTGCTGCCCTGTTTTCTCTCCGCTTTACTAATTCAGAGAAACAAGGTGCTGATAAAGCAATGCTTCTGGCTAGGCTCAGCACCTGCTGATCTAATGTAAAGTCTTCAAACTTTAAAGAAAACAAGGGGGCTATGCAGGCTTATTAATAAGCTAGTAAGTTCTCCTGATTTGCTCTTCTGGCTTCTTAGGACCTGAAGGTTTTCCAGAGACTGTAGAGCGCTCTATTGTGTCTGGAGCATCCAGGCGATCTTGAGAGTGTCTAAGGGTGGCTGTCACGAGGCTGAGAACAATTTTTTGCTGTCTCTGTTAGGGTGCACCTGGCTGTATGTTCTCAGTTTAGCTCCAGAAATCTACTGGTTAATAGCATTTCACTTTAGTCCGGTGATACTTTTTATACCTTTACCATTTGTTTTTTCTCTGTATCATTTTTTTGCACTAGGCTGACCTTGTTAAGTCGATTGCACTGTTGTCCCTCTCCCGCCAGCCTTGCAGAGACGGGTCATCTCCGGGGACCTGCGGGCTGGGGACCACTGTAGAGAGGCTGTTGATAGCCCAGTTTCTCTGTTGTTCAGTGCTTGGGTTTCCAGCTCTGCACAGGGAGGATTTAAAGAGGAAGAGAAACTTTGTCTTAGCATTTGTAACAGGAAGCTTTTTTTATCAGCTTAATATAGTTAAACTTCTTTTTAACAAAAACTGTGAAAGCTGGACTTCTCAGAGCGGTGTGCCAGGCGACAGAGCAGATGCAGGAGACAAAGTGATTCCTGGAAAACTGTTTTCCACCTACTCTGACTTCATTGTAGTCCCGTCTGCCAAACGTTTGATCGCACTGACACCTGGTGGCTGCTGGGAGTTGGAGACGAAGAATAATTTAAAAAAGGATTTTTCCCCGTCTTAGCTCTGGGTATTTGTTTCCTGTGACTTGCCTAGGACAGTCACCTGCTTTATTCACGAGGGGCTGCTGGACTCACCAGTGAGCAGAGGGGCTCGCACCAGGCACATAAGGGATGGTTTGTGTGAGGACATCCCTGTCTGCAAAGCAATGAGATGGGACATTCCCTGGAGTCACCGGTCTAGAGGCCCTGGGTAGCAATACAGGGTCTCAGCTCCATCTCCCCACTTTCTCCTCCACTTGCCCCCTCTCCTCCCAGGGAGCACAGACAGAAAGCAGAGGCTCTGGCTTGAAATGGAGGTGGTTCTTCAGAGAGAGCATCAGATGCTGGTGTGAGGAGCTCTGCGCGCCGGGGAACGCCGGCGACGGCATCGGCTGGATGCACGTCCAAGATCAGAGTGGCTCTTCATCTCTGTGGGACGGTGGCCAGATGTGGTCTGGGATGGCCAAGCTGCAGATTACTCCCAGATGTTGCCCAGATGTCTAAAACAGCATCTATAATGTGGAGTCCAACATGTACTAGGACTTCGTATCCTGCAGACCGCCTCGTGGTATGTAGGGTGTAAAGAAACAATGAGAAGTGACCCGGTAACTATGCTGTGGAGTATGGAACGCAGGTTAAGAATACAGTTCAAGATGCCACCTTAAGGATCCCTACAGGCAAAGGATGCAGTGTGAAATGGAGGTACGTTATTGTACAGATTACTGCAGTATGACCTTAGAGCATCGCAGCAGGATCGCGCTGCAGCCGCTGCCGTCAGCAGCTCGTCTGTTCCCGTCCACCTTCACAGCCACGCAGGAGCACCTCTCTCCTTGACAGGGGGTTTGGGGCAGCTTGGACAGTCAGAGACAACAGGCGCCTTCATCCGTGCTGGCTCACGAGAGCCTCGTGGGCTCATCTCGACTGACGGCCGTT